AAAGTGATCACAAACTCTGGAACAGATTTCATTCGCAATAACACATTTCTCTTYCTGGAATCACAGCGCTCCATCACGGCAAACAGATACATTTGGGAATAAYGGTTTCTGAAGTGTGTCTGCATAGGTTAGAGTGAAAATGCTTTCTCAAAGGCAATGATCAGAGTGTGGAGTCATTGGATCTGTTTTCGGTGCCTGCTTCTTCTCAGCCAAGAATACTTTGGCCCCAGCTTTGTCCCTCTGCCACAGGGTTTTGTCCCAGATGTTGTCAGCCTGTCACAGTGGTGCAGGGGGAAAAAATCAGGTTTTCATAACCTCTGAGGCTGAGCATCCACTGCCTGACAACAAGATACATTGCACCACATGCTTGGAAACAACTGCACCTGTAGGGCAGGTGCAATGGGAACTATATCTCCTGTAAAATGAGATGAGAAGGAAACTACATTTGGGACTGTGCTGGTACATCTGGACCATCAGTGTACTGATGAAATAATGGAATCTATGTTTTTCTGTAGACAGAGCTTGTCAAAAAAAAAAAAAAAAAAAAAAAAAAANAAAAGAAAAAGGAAAAAAAAAAGAGAAAAGGCATCAAACCAACACATCAGCAAAAAAAAAAAGAGAAAAGGCATCAAACCAACACATCAGCATTTGGTATAATAAAAAGCACCAAATTCAAGATTTTTCTCCGGTGGTATTGATTCTCCCTGTTTCAGAGAGTTTGGGGAATTTCGTGTTGTCATGTAGTTSTATAAATGTTTCCTTGCACCATGCTCATGCTATTCAAAGAACTTTAATTTTCATTTCATTTCTTCCCATTTGGCTCCTCTGCTATAACTATACATAACCAGCTTGCATCTGTATTCCCAACACATGCACACATGTGCATAAAGAATAAATTCCTTTACACCAGTACTTGTCATTAATGAAATTCAATCTCAAATTTTCCATGCCATTGATCAGCATCTTGAGAAATTTCCTGGCAGAGCATTTGTAGGCATAAGAATGCATTTCTYATGAGTAGGACTAGGAAGAAAACTATTTTTCTTTCTATTTAAAAAAATTGTGATATTCATTTCACCAGCATCATAGCAATGAGGATCTCCATGGTATGTCKAGAGTAAAGCTCAGCTCTGCATGAGTCATGTGGAAAACAAAACAGAAGCYATTTGTGCATGGTAGCTCAAGCTGGATTTTTTGAGATTTTGGGCACAAGAATCATGCAGAGCCTGGTAAGGGACAGGACAGGAGACCAGGAATTTCCTTCTACTTGTTTCTTCCAGCTTTGAAGAAACCGGAAAGAAACTGAGTAGATTTTTCTAACTGGAAGCTAGGGAGTATCTCCAGGGATGTTTGTTTTTTCATGTCTAGTGCTCAGGAAGCAAAAARTTATTGAGGAAGAAATCTAGCTCATACTGAGAAGGAGGGTAGCAAGCTTGAAGAAGAAGAACAGRAGATGAGCCAGGGGGTAGGAAGGGTATGCTTCAGGAAACAGGAAGAAATTCATGTGGAAAAGGTGCTGGAGGCCAAGGCTGCCTGCTGGGATAGAGCAGGACCTCATTCTCCCTGGGCCAGACTGAATTCACAGCTACTCAAAAGTAGATGCTCAGCTACTCTCAGTCAATGCCTCTGAAAATACAGCAGATCATTACTCACCTATGTCTCAGCCCTTTTAAGAGATCAGTTCACATGAAGGTCAATTCTTTCAAATACCAAACTGGATTTTAGTTTGGGGTTGAGAGGCTGGGAGATTTAAAAGCYTCTTGCAGAGTGCAAGAGTGCAAAAAAAAACCCCAACCTGTCCCTCATTCTATAAAGACTAGATTGAACGCAGCTCATATTAGGCCAAGAGAGCTGTTGGGAAGTAGGATGAGCAAATTCCCAGCTGGGGCATGGAGTGTTTTTCAGAACCCTCTCTCCACTTTCCCACTCCTAGTAATGTCCTGTAATATGCAAGTGTGAGAAATTACAAATAAACATAAGGATTTATGATACAGCAAGGAGAAAAATACATAATGAAATTAAACAAGGTTTCTATCTGAACATAAAAGAATTTCAATAATTCTAATTAATGGCCAGGAGACACATTTCAAGACACAAGGCAAGCAATGAGGCATAAATGAATAAATAAACAYATCAAGAATGTTGAATCACAGAATACATTTTGCTCATTTTATTTATTGTTTTTTCATTCAAATTCAAAAAACCCCAAACAAATAAACGAACAAAACATTTGGAGTTGTGGGTAATATCTAGATCTTGTTAATACCCTAAAAATAAATCAASAACTAAAACTCACTACAAAATATTGCAGATGGAATTTCATTTCAATAATGCATAATCAGCCATAGTATGCCAAAGAAAATCAACAGTACATTTATCAAATATAAGTCAAGCCAGGTCTACCAGATCTTAGAGAAGTACCTGCTGTTGACTCCCTGTACTTATCCTTGCCCCTCACTTTAGTGGCCTGGGCTTATCCCTGAGCATTCATGAATAGCACTTGAATTTTAAACCTACAATTTTGAATTTCCTGGGTTTGTCTTCTGACTGCCTACATTTAGACAATTGAACCATACAAACAGAATACATCCTTTTATACCTCTAAATAAAATAATTTAAGGCACAACTTTAGTGTAAGCTGACTTAGATACCACCTAGATTCTTCAGTTTCAAAACAGCAATGTAAGATACAATCCATAAGGTTGATATTGTTATTTTAAGATACACAATTTTTTAATTCCAAAAATAATGAAAGTATTATTGTGTTCTATAAAGTAAGAAATAATTCAGTTTCTTCTAAATTAAAAATGCTGTGAAAGACAGTTCTTGTCTGACTGAGCATTTGTTCAAGTAGGGATTTTAAAGGGAGTGTCTAAATGACAGATCCATCCAGCCCACATGGGTTTACCTTTAAATTACCCTGGAATTCAGCAATTAAGAGAACTTTTAATAGCTGYAGCAATCTACACCACAGCACAATCTGATACCATTGGTAGAAAAAGCTGAGTTAATGAGAGGTCATGGAATAGAAATCACTTGCTTTGCTCTAGATAACAAATTGTCATTTATTGGCAAGGACTGCATGAAGATTTGTGGCATAAGCATTTGGGACATATTTCTGTATACTGGAGGTGGAAAAGGAACCCTATTAGCTTCAGATGGAAAGAGAAAAGTACAATTTGAAAATGAAAATTTGTCATAAAAATCAGGATGATCTGTCACAAYATGGAAACCGACATGAGCAAACACCTTCTCTGAGATCGTGATTGCCCCTCTTCCCTGCTTCAGCCCACCACCATAGGCAGTGGCCAAGCACAAAACTCACTGAATGCAACTTTGTACCTGGCTGGTCTCAGTCTATGCTCAGCAACTTTTCTCAAATGAGTCAGTATATTTGGGGATGGGAAAATCTGCTGTTCCTGTTCTTGAAATATTAAGTATCTCTTGTGTTTTTCCACCTAGAGAAAAGACACAGGTCAGTTCAAGATTTACTTTTCTGAACTACAAATGGATTTTCAAGGCACTAATAAAGGATCATTTACCAGAGTCTGATGCTAACTTGTGGAGGCAAAGCTAGTCAGAGTCATAATGGAGTAGCCAGGGTACTRGTGCACATCCTGGTAGATGGGGACAAAGGATATTCTTCTCCATCTGCAGATGTTATCTTACATAATATTCTGACAGCAGTTTCCTTCTAGAAGTAGACTTGCACTGTGTAGGATTAATGTTGCTCCCCTGCTATTAGTATTACTACTGCTTTCTCTGGAGAAATGTTGTCTGCACCAGAAAGAATGAAAAAATTGAGCAACCAAAAATTATCAAAAAAARGACACTCCTCAGTGAATTGTCCAATCCTTAATAGTTTCTACCYAAAATAGTCCAGTTTTGCAAATCATCTCAACACCAACAAATCAGAACATTCTGATGGAATGAAAACAGTTATGAATAGAATTATGAACAACTTCAAACAAGTTGTTTTTACATTTACATATAAAACAGCTAGGAAAGTAAATTCAGCTCTAACTAAGTGTTAAAACTCCTTGTTTGATATTTTTGACATAGACTTTATAGTCCATATATAGTCTTTCAAAGACACCCCCAAATTTAAAATCATGAAAGTTACATTAAATGTCAGAAAATGTCTTCAGGTGAAGACAGGATCTGTATAGTCTACTAAAAAACTCCATCCAACCCATCCTACTCCAAGCTCAAAAATCTAAAATGTCGTCTCATCTCAATATRTCCGTATTTTCCAGGAAGTACTGAAAATTAATAGGTTTCTTTGTGTAGCAAGGAAAAGTACAACAGGCAGCACATAAGGGGAAGCTAGACGGCTTCAAGCTCCYGAGAAGGCCTGCATTTTAAGGCTGAGATTAGTCACTGGAACAAGCTGCTAATAAAAGCAGCAAATTCATTTCTTTGGCCATCAAAAGCACAATAACTGGATTTCTGGAAATAAGCATTAGTCAAACTCAAGTGATGAAGCCTGATAAAGGAATGACTGTGTGAATGTTAATGGCTTGTGATGTGCAGGAGGCTGGATTACATGCTCTGGTGATACCATCTCTCCTTAAACGCTCTGAGTAAATACAGCATTGTGCTTGCTCCAAGCATAATGATCAGGATTCAGCAAATCCACCTTTTTCTTCTCCTCAATTTTATGTTTCTTTTCAGAAATCAGGGAGACAATTGCCATGTTCCCATCTATGTCTGCTTTGCTATTTTTTTATGCTCCTAAACCTTGAAAAGAAGCAGAATTCACTTTATGACCCCTTCACACGAATATGGCATTAATATAAATGAGAGCTGGAACCATTATATTTATCACTGCTAAACCCACAGAAATGACAGGCACTCAGTGGGCATGCTGTAGCCTCAGGCATGTGGGATAAATGGCAAGATTTTAGGGACTCCTTGGGAGCTTCAGATGTAATTTCAGTTCTATGAATAAATAAACACCAAAGATGTTTAAGTAACTGTTTGCTCAAAAAGCTTGTTTATTTAATTAAAACAGTAATTTCAGTTCTGCAGATTTGTGTCATGCCTGTCCCACACCAGCCTTCTGGCGGTTGTGTCTTCTTCCTTATCTCTCTGCAAGGGATGCTCTCACTGCATCTTCCATTCCTGAATGACTTCTAGTGCTGGGTTAAGTTTAAACGGGAAAAAAAGGTTTGTTAATAGCAATATTCTTGAAAAGTATGAAGTGATGCAAAGAAGCAGTGCACTACCACTGTTTGCTCCGAGGAGTAATTCCACAGGTGATGAGCTATGTCCCTTTTTGACAAGGTCTTTCTAAATATCCATGTGCCTCACACSGTGCTTCATGAATAGGTCCTGATTTCACGACAGCAGCATTGCTATTTCCCTGGAATTAACATCCGTGCATGGGGCTCTTGCTGAGCCGGTGGAAGAGAGCAGCCGCAGCTGYTCGGGGCTCTGGCAGAGCGCAGGGCACGGGCAGCAGCGCCTGTCCCCAGCGGGGCTCGGGGATCCCGCAGGGAGGACATGGGTGACACGGGCGGAGAGACGGGCAGGACCTGCGGCAGCTGGGAACACCACGGGCTGTGAGCCACGTTAGGTGCCCGTGTGCCAGCAAGGAATGTGCCAGCACCACGTTAGGTGCCCGTGTGCCAGCAAGGAATAATGCCCCTGCTTCCCCATGCGGGGTTGTTGTCGTTTTGGAAGGGGTAACAAACAGCCTTCCCGCTCCGTTCTCTGCCATCGTAACCGGGATGAGTGCCCAAACCCGCAGGGGGAGCGTCACCTCCGCACTCCGCCGAGCCGCAACCCTCCGCATCCCCCCGGCATCGCTGCGGAGCACCGGCGGAGGCTGCAGCACCCCCGGGCTCCAAACCGAGCGGTTTCGGGCTGTCTGGGGACACCGCCGTGACCTGCCCACGGGTTGGAAAAGGCGCTGAGACAGGGAGGAGAACGGGCGAGACAGATCCTGCCCGGTTCCAGCACTGGGTGCCCTTCCCTCCCGGCGCAGCCAGACCCTCCCTGCCCCTGTCCCTGTCCCTGTCCCTGTCCCTGTCCCTGTCCCTGTCCTTATCACTGTCCCTATCCTGGTCCCTGTCCCTGTCCCTGTCCCTGTCCTTATCACTGTCCCTATCCTGGTCCCTGTCCTTGACCCTGTCTCTGTCTCTGTCCCTGTCCTTATCCCGGTCCCTGTCCTTATCCCGGTCCCTGTCCCTGTCCCTGTCCCTGTCCCTGTCCTTATCCCTGTCCCTGTCCCTGTCCCTGTCTCTGTCCCTGTCCTTATCCCGGTCCCTGTCCCTGTCCCTGTCCCTGTCCCTGTCCTTATCCCGGTCCCTGTCCCTGTCCCTGCCCCTGTCCCTGTCCCTGTCCCTGTCCCTGTCCCTGTCCTTATCCCGGTCCCTGTCCCTGTCCCTGCCCCTGTCCCTGTCCCTGTCCCTGTCCCTGTCCTTGTCCTTATCCCTGTCCCTGTCCCCGCACCAGGTGGCAGCAGAGCCGCAGCGCCGTGCCCCGCCGGAGAGCGGCACGGGAAAGTTGCAGGGGTTTGGGGGGTTTTATGGCAGAAAATGTAGTAATTTTAGTATTTGTTTGCGTGGTTTCGAATCAATAATAAGTAAAAAGAAACCCAGTGAAAGCTGGGAGCGCTGGCGAGTCCTTCAGAAATGACCCGGGCTCCGAGGTGCAGCGCTGGAGGATGCACCGCAAGCTCTTCGCAGGCTCTCTCGGCTGCCGACCGGCGGCTGTTTCTGCAATGAGAACTCAGGGCAAGGAGAATTTGCCAGAGTGACAAATCCCACAAGGGCCGCTCAAAATGTGTCGGATCTTTATGCACAGGATGCTGTGGCCAAGTTCTTGTCTAGAAGACAAAATCTCGTTTATTTATTTACCCTTTAACTTCCCTTGCTGTGATGTGTGATAGTGCCACTCTGATGTTTTAATCATTAGCAAGTRAGACACAGCAAGACACGTCTTTTTAGTAAAATTATTGTTGGAACCAGCACCAAATCCTTTCTGAGCAATAAATTTCTGAGCACTGAAACTCAGGTGAGTTTCCTCAGTAATTCGGTCCTCRGGAGGGTTTCAATCTTAATTACTGACTTTTACAGGGTCAGCACTAGACTTCTACTATGAAACTACTGAAATTTTTTATCATGAAGCTTTTATTATAGAGGTCAGTCCTACCCTGTGCTTGACCTTATTTATAATAATTATAAATCAGACATTTAACCCAACAGTGGATAAGAATAGTAGGGTGACTATAATTTTTGGAGCTTGTAGTATTTTTTATAGGCTGCTCTTAGACCATATAAAGTTGTAAATTTGAAGATTAGGAAATTTGAAGATTAGGAACTAAAGCAAGAAACTGTAGTGTTCTTTTAACAGGCCAGACTTTCCCAGGTAATATTGCATCAACCTTTAAGYGGCATAAGGCTGCTTGTCCCCAGGGCAATCCAGGGCTTGACAGACCCTGTGCCCCTGACTGGGTGTTGTRCCTCACAACCAGTGACCAGGCAAAATTGCACCTCTTGCACCCGCCTTAAACCAGACATGGACAAACTCGAACATTAAAGTTGAGGATGAGACCCCAAAGGCATTTTCTGACCTGTCCCTGTTCCCATCTCCTGCCCCGAACGAGGGGCAGCTGCAGCCATGCAGTTGGCCCTACAGCCCTGGAAAAAGTGTGTGAATCTCCTGCCACAGGTCCCCAGCTGCTCAGGAAGAGTTGTRAAGCCAAATACAGCCACAGGGTGGAGGAAGAACTGTGTAACTAAAATTGCACCCAGCCCAGTTATGCTCTCCCTTGGGAGCACAGCCSACATCATCCTCCAGGAACAGTTCCTCCAGGAGCTGCGTGCTAACCCCCACTTTGCTTCATTACAGAAGACCTTGGAGGAGTTGCAAGATGTATCTATGCATGAGCTCAGTCTGTGAATGTACAATGAATTAGACTGTTGTCTTTCTCCAGGCCTTTATTTCTGAAAGAGTTTAATTTGCTTTATTTGGGGCTGCTGCAATAGTTTTTGTGAGTATTCCCCTATTTTAATTAAAGAAAGTAAATAGATATATAGACAAAGCAATAACTGGATCTGGTTCCTTGCCAGTGGAGACTGAATTCCAAAGCTTCAGCAGTGAGTCTGCCTTTGTACATTGCCTTGGTGTGTAGGGACAGGAGCTATGGGATGATAAAACCCCCTGACAAAAGGCTGATCAGAAGCCTGTGGTTTAGGCACACGTTGCTGATGCTGGACCCAGTTCCACAGTGGGGCTCAAGTGCTGAGCCCTCTGATGGCATCATCATGTGCTGTGACCCTCTGCAGCTCCCATGAAGAGAAGAAGGGTTAAGGTCTCCTGGGGCCCAGGCCACCAGGCAGGATGGAGTCATGGTGGGTGTCCATTTTTATTGCTCCCTTCTCCACAGAAGTACACTGTAATGAAAACAGAAAAGAGTGTGGATAGAGACAGTGGGAGAGGATGAGCTAATTTTTGCCTCCTACATCAAAGGTATGCTATGCTGCTTCCCTATTCTGTCTCTAATGGTCTGATCTGAGTAAATTAAGAACCAGCTGCTGCTTCAAGCTGTCTTTGACAAGAGCATGGAGAATTCTGTGCAGCTGATGAAATGCCAAGTCCATTAGYTCTGCAGCTGATGTGCTTTCATATCCTCCCAGCCAGTCTGAGGAATGGTGGGCTACCAGGRGTGCTCAGTGGCCAAGGGCTGTCACCATGGAGCTCTGGAGCTCTGGGTGCAGGAGACATTTATTTTCACCCTCTCTCTCAAAAGGTTTTAGTAAAGCAGATGATCAGTGAACTGTCTCAGAAAAGGACTGGAAGCCCAAAGTCCTGAGAGAGGGTGGTAAGAGGGACCTCTCTTTCTCTCTATTTCTCAAACTTGTTCAGATATTCTGCTCCTGTGCTGCCTTGAATCTCCCTCTGRTGTTTCCATCTTTACACAGAGATTGCTCTGTATCCTACAACACCCATGTGAAGTGTCATTTTCCCCCCCTAATGTGATGACAGATTATTTATGGAGAGAAGAGGGAAAACAAAAAGGAAATGCAGAATAGTCTGCACTCAGGGTCTTAAATGCAGCCTCAGACCTGAAGTGATCATTGATGAAGATGGGTTGAGCGGGTGCAATGGCAGACAGAGTGAATTGTTGTCTGGTGTGGCTATCAGAGATCATGAAAACATGTCAGGGAAAGGCAGAGATCACATGTGCCATGGTAGATGGGAGTCTATATAGAGGTTTCTCCTCTCTGCAAATATTATTGTGCTCCCTCTGTTATGGCCTGGCTGACAGAGCTCACTGAAGCAGTGGCTGGCATGTTTTCAGTGCAAACTGATGTGCCTGCTATACTGTGACCCTGGTTGAACCTTCCTGCCAATATCACATTTATTCTGTGTTAGCAGCCCTCCTTGGGCAGCTTCTGAGAGACACGGGGCTGCAGGGGCTGATAACCCAGAAAGAAACCATCCTGGATGGCTCAAGGCTTTGGCAGGCACATGGGGATTCACAGCCCTGCCATCAAAGCCTCACTGCTCCTGCCTTGCCATAGATCTTGTGCAGCAAACTGTGCAATTGCCAAGGAGCCAAATTGCTTCCAAAAGCACTCTTGTCCTTTGCAGGGCTGCACGACCTACAGCCAGCACTGCTCCCTGCCTTCGTGGAGCTGATCTGCGCTGACTGCAGCACTCTCTCCTTMCTGCTGAGCCACTCTTCCCAACAGCCAAACCATCAGCACAGGTATGTCCTGGAAGATGGTGGCCAAGCCACTGATGTTCTTTGGGTCCCAGATCACACCGAGCTCAGCTGCCAAGAAATATTCCCAGAAAACATGTTTATTTTCCATTGACYAGAGGGAAGCTGGGGATATACAATTATAATACTGAGCTAGCCACCATGAACACCCTTTCTGAAGACCCCTAGGATTTCTTTTCTCCTTTTCTCTTCCACTTTACCGGTTGCCTAAAGGCAGAGCCAAGCCCTGAATATTTGACTTTTTCTTGGACAGAACTTTCCTAAATATGATAAATATTCAAAGTGYTCTTTGTTCTAGTTTATGGATAAATTGCCTGAAGGACATATTGAAATGAGAGCAATCACAAGCACATGCYTACTTGTTCTTCCACATACTAGGTGTACACCCACAGTTCAGCTTAAGGAAAACTCTATAATGCCAATTGATAAATGCATACATGCATGCAACAAAAATRCAAATGCTGCAATATTGAAAAGAACTGAAAGCATTTTTCATTTATGTGAGACAAACAATGCCTTTGTATCAAAGCAACCCTTTAATATACAGCTGATGACTACTTTTAAATATACTTACTAGAATGAGCTAACACACAGGGTAAAGAAAACAGTTAAGAGATATTAGAGAAACCTATGGTAGAAAAATAAGTGGCTGGCAAATAGTCCTTTCACAGAGTCTAAGCAGACCTTCAACCTTTGTAAATAAAACTTGTAATATTATCTTATTTTGCACAATTACTGAATCACAACAAAGAAACTGAAAATTGAGGGTCCTTTAAGACATATCGATGAACATAATCTCAATTTTTTAACTGTAATATGAAAGCAAGATTAGGTAATAAAGCTAATCAAAATACAACACTGACAAGGGTGTGAAATTTCKGTTCTAAAATAATTTTGCACTTGTTTTCTCCCAACTGGCAGGCTTAATACAGCCAARCAAGTTTCATATATAGAAACTATTCCAAAACTCAACAAGGAGACATCTGCCCTTCCTTTTTATTCTTTCTGTTACTTTTCTAGAGTTTCTTCCCCATYAGAAAYRGAGGCATTAAATACCACAAATCTCYGCAATGAGGCAGTTCCCAATAAATATTGTTCAAATGTTCAAAACTGATATTTATTACACCCAGAATACATACCAGGGTGTTTTGTTTTCCCCCAGAATCACTTTTGCTAACACTTTTCTTTTGTCCCCTCTTCAATGTTTCTCCTCTTTAGTGTCTTGTAATGTGCTGAACAGAGATGTTTGCCTGATTGTCTGATGACTCTGCCTTATTCTCTGGGCTCTRCTCATTACCTCTGTCCTCTCAGTATACTCTCCTCAAATATTGACACTGGTTTCCACACACAGAAATAGTTGTATTTTAAAYACTCTCCAATCCAAAATGTCCTTGGATTTCAGAGGGTTTATTTTCTGTCTTCTATGTAAGGCAGTTGGGAAAAGTGTGATTTAGACAGTGATTTACATCATCTGTGGCACAGCCTTCACAGCACTCAGATGGTGCTTAACGATACCATTGCAGAGCAGCTCATAAAACTGGGCACATAAATGTTTTTATGATTATGGACTTGAATGGGCTCAATTCCATATATCTTCCTGCATTTCTGTTGAATTAGCTTTTGATCCTTTTTTTGCAATTCTACTGTGCACCTGGTAAGAGGTCTGGGCTAAAAGCAGCAAAGGCATTAAGCCATTCGTTTCTTCAGGGTTGTCAGTCCCTGGAGAAACATCACTTAACTGTTGAGAAACACTAAGAAAGAAGTAAGTAAGACGTCCCTTGTTGTGTAGCTTAAATTTTGTTCTTAATGTGAAAAAATAGATCTTTTAAGCTTTAATTGTAGAAGGCACAAGATTTAACTGCAAAAGATTCCCTTCAAACCATCTCAAGCTTTTATCCTGTCAGCAGGAAAACAMACATGCTATGAACTGAACTGTTATTGGCTCTGAGAAGTCAATCATTGAGCCACTCTCTCTCCATCTTCGAAGGCAGTCTTACAGAAATATGACCTGTCAAGTGTGAATAAGCCAAACCATAGGAAAGGAGTATCAGGTGGATAGGATTAAAATACTGAGGCATGAAGATGCTGGGAGATGGATCCCATGATTTTGGATAAAGGGCCTTGCAACAGAAAAGTTTAGTAGTTTGGCAGAAGAGGGATTTTGGAATGGGGAAGAGAAAGAGGTACAGACTGGGGAATTGTTTTGGTGGGGCACAGAAAAGAGGTTGAGGATGTCTTACTTTGCAATAGGAAGGAAGAGGGGAGGTGGGTGCTGAAGTGAGRTGAGAGGGATTTGAGAACTGGGCCTGAGGGTATTGCAAAATGGAAGATGGGAGTAGACATGACAGAAGTATTTATTAGACAAGCCTGATGACACTGATTGCTGTCAGCGCCTTCTCCAGGCACACACAAGCACACTCCCAACGCCTTCTTCTTGGGCAAACACCTGCTGACATGGCAAAGGGCTACATTAAGATGTGTTTGCAGTAGCAGATTAGCTGTCCCTTCTGTTGAGAAATCACTTTTTAGCCACAGCTAAAACTGGTTTATTCAGGATGAATGTTTTCTGTGGACTGGCTGCTGCACTGTAGAAGGGTGACAGCCATGYGAGTCTATGGAAGCCTGGTGTTGGTCAGCTGAAGACCCTCATGACCCACCTGATTGTCTTACTGTCAATTTAGTTGGGATTTCTGTCTAAATGTGCCTCCATTCCTTCCGAGAGCCTTCTGAGCACGATTCATACGGAACTTGGACCRGTAGTCTGCCTCACATTTTTTCAGCCCTCCCCAGCTGCTTATATGTCATTCCTGCTCAGCTGTTTTGATATGAATCTGGCAAAATCACRTACTTACTTGTGTTGTTCCTTCAGCTTTATTAATCTAGCATCTATGAGCTSTCTGTCAGCTGTTTTTCTGGGAAAAAAAAAGGCAAACATTTTCATTTAATGTTTTACAAGAGAAAGTTCTTTAAAACAACTCTCTTTTTCAATAGAATAGCTAYGCCATATTTTCTTGGCCAGAAGTGTTGACAGTACAAAAGTAATAACAACTGTAGTCCAATAACTTTATTTAAAAATAAGTTTATATATAAAAATACTTTTCTTTAAAAATGCTTCTCTTCTATAGCCCATTTGCATGTCGATAAGTAAGATCAAAAGTCTTTCAACAGTGTTATAAGTTCACTGTCTTGTCTTTCAGGAACAGACTGAGAAGAACTAACAAAGCAAATTACAGCTGAAGAATTATTTTAAAACCTATTACTTCTTAGCTACAGCATCTCATCTAAAAACTGTGTTTCKGTGAAGAGGCTTAACACCTACCTATGAGTCCAGGAAATCCCAGCTGGATACAGGAGCAGTCACACACTGAGTTAGGAGGAGATCAACAGTTTGATTCACTGGAAAGGGTGCACACCTACCCTAGTCATAAGTAAGATGATGACTTCAGGCACAAAGAACATGCCTCCACAACARTGTTCAGGAAAAAGAAATATAGAAAAAGATTTGGACATCATTCTGGTAATCTTTGTACAAASACAGGGCTAGAAAAGAGATGAAATATTTTCGTAGTATTTTCCTATAGGCTGCTGGTAAAACAACTACTACAATACTATGTCTAAACAGATGAAGATTTCAAAAAGTTATTGATTAAAACCACAAAACTTTTTATAGATTGTTTAATTATCCTAAAAGCTTGTTCTATTTAAATGATCAAAGATTAAAGGCCCCTTGATCACAATTTATAAATGCCAACTCTAGCTGTTGAAGGTATAATGAGATTCAGTGGCTGGAAGATGAAGCTAAACTAATTCAGACCATAAATAATGCTCTCATTAGTTATCTGTGTGCATATTAACTCTTGAAAGAATCTATCAAGGATTGCCCATCACTAAAAATAATTAAATCAACATTGTTTTTTTTTATTTGGTTGATATATTTTAATTCAGCAACATCTATGGACTTGAAGCAAATTAAATAATGGATGTCCAGTGACCTGTATTACTCAAAGGACTGAAGTAAATAATTGCAAAGCCTATATTAATCACTGAGTTCTTTAATTTATCCAATGAAAACAACAATGTCAGAGCTTGGTTAGATGGGTTAATCCTTATGTCTTGATTTGATTTGTCTAATCAAATCASAATATCCTTTGTAGGGGATACTTTCTTCCTCCCACAGCCAGCAACATGCCTACAACAGACCACTGGGACACATCCTGGCTTCTAGATCATGTGGCCACCTGTGTTATCAAACCTTCACAGAGGCCACATCAGATCAGATTTTTCACCAGCACTGTTGACCAAAGGGGTTATAGAGAAGGTGAAATTATTTGGGGTTATAACTATACCCTGCTTAGAGTTGTCCCATGACAGCTGCATCTTTTAAAATGCATTGCAGTGCAGCCTGGGAACAATGTGCTCATTTTTCAAGGAAATAGACATCTAAGTGTGCTTCTCGTTAAGCTCCCAGTCAGGCAATTCCAAAGCCTAATCATYGCTCTTGCCTTTTCATTTGGCTGGCGGTGATTTATTCACCTCCCTGGGACCATGTGTCAAATGACAATAATCTGCTTTCTGGGGGCTTGCTAGACTTAGGTGCTGTTATGCAGTGTGCTGTAACCTGAAGGTGAATCTCAGCACGTCTCCCAGACCAGCACAGTGACTCGTCTTTCACCTCTACCAATGACGATGGAACAAGCAGCATAAAAACTCAAGAGAATATCGTGGGGGGAAAACTAATTGTGGCCTTTCACTGCCTACAGGGAGCTTGCAAGTAAGCAAGAGACTTTTTACAAGGGTGTGCAGTGATCAGACAAGGGAGAATGGGCTTGAGCTGAAGGAGAGTTGGTTTAGATTAGATACTGGGAAGCAAGTCTTTATTGTGAGAGTGGTGAGGCACTGCAACAGGCTGCTCTGCGAAGCTGTGGATGTCACATCGCTGAAAGTGTTCAGGTTGGATGTGACTCTGAACAGTTTGGTTTAGTAAAGGGTGTCCCTGCCACTGGCAGGGAGGTGGAATCAGATGATCTTTAAGGTTGCTTCCAACACAAACCATCCTATGATTTCATTCTATGATTTCACCTAATCCTTTTATTATAGTTTGTCATTTCTCTTTCAGTAGATATTTGCTAACAGCTACTGGCCTTGCATCTGACACATTTAGGCAACAAGAACTATATTTTCAGGRAGAAGGCTGTTACAACTTGCTGTGAGTTTTAGCCAAATTATATGCTATTTTGCATTTGGCGTAATGTTATTTTTTTATTTCTATTGTCAGTTATAGACACATAMCACTTTGGCCTAACTCAAGGTCTGTGTTGTACAGATTTGGTCACAGATTTCTCTTTTGTAAAATAAAACCCTTACACTACTTTTGCTACCATTAAGGGCTGGTGCTTTACAAATCTTTTGCATATGAAGTTGTGGCAAATGGCAGCCATGGAAGTCACCGCTAGTTTTGAAGAACCAGACAATGGACACTCTTTTCTCCAGCTCCAGGCTGTGTCAGCTAAAAGGACATTACAGGTCTCCCACCAGACACTATCATTCCATTCCAGCTGTCAGCTAAGCTATTTGCAGAACTGTTTCTTTCCTACCTGGAGCTTCCTGCTACAGGTCAGAAAAGGGTTACTGTTCCAAGTAACCCAGCTCGCCTTGACAARAGTATAAGCAGCTCAGCAGCAGATTAGAAGGGGCAGTAAGCTGCAACATGAATGGTGAGGGAGAGGTAGTCAGCTGAAGGCRACAGCTTCTGCCAGCACAGCCAGATCTTGCAGTGAACATGTGCAGCAGCCTTAATTTTGCTTGATTTCTCATCGGTCTAAAATAAAGAGCACAATAGAAAGTAGGACCTTCCTCTGGCAGCTTATATTTGTCCCAATCTCATATGCATGCCTCCCCCTTAATGCTGGATTTTAATTTGCCCATTGAGCCCTCTAAGAGCTCCTTTGTTCTTACTCACTTCCCACTCACTTCTAAAGACAGTGGCTGTGATCATATTGCAAATTCTGTTATGCAGCAGTACCAATTAGTATTTGAACTTATTCCTGACTGTTACTTTGGAAGAAGTTAGAGGTATTTGCTCATTTTTATTCTTCAGGTTGCTTCATGAAAAATTCACCTTCTGCAGTAGATGATGGGTTTGTAAGTCACAATAATTCAAGTCACAAAAACTTAATTTAACAGATTGAATTTAAGCAATTTGTTGCTATTTCTAATGTATTCTCTTCTTTCATGTTGCTTCCAACTATCAGTTSCAGCTCTGTATTGAATACAAAATGGAGACTGGGAATACATAACAAAACAAATGGGGTAAAATAAGAAGAGTGAATCTGGATCTTTATGTCTAGGCTTCAGGCGAAGTTGGTATTTCATTATTTATTGTGCTGCAATACGGTTTTGATGATCAGATTTCCTCAGACACCTGTCATTTTAAAATACTCACAGTATTTTTTTTTTGTTTATCCTCTTCAGCCATAGTAATGATTGATCTGATTTTTTTGGCATGCAGTTTTAAATCCAGTCACTTCAGCAGAATGAAACTTTAACCTTAGCAAACGAAAATGTACTGCCTTGTCAATGTAGAGTTCTTTTCCATGTACTGAAGRGCTAAATGTTCACTAAACTCTCCTTCCCTGATTTCATGAGCACACCTGCTATCTCCTTGTTGTCAATTTGATTTCTGGTAKTGTAGGTAAACTGAGATTTCATTTTATAAGGAAAAGTGAGCTTMTCCTTCTAAAAGACCTTAAGGGAAGTTTCATTCTGTGCAGCTATTTCAAACCCTTTCTGTGAAACACATTTCCTGAGGGAGATTTTATTTCACAAAAAAWTCTGAGTTGGACTGGACTCAAAAGGCTCATCAGGTCCAACTCCCAAGGGAACAGTTCATACAGGGATTGAAGCCATGACCTTGGTGTTATTAGTACCATGTTGTAACCAACTGAGCTAATAAAGTAACCTTTAATTACCTTAAGAACAAATCAGAAATAGAATTACTTGGCAGGTAAAATCTAGTTTCTGTTAATAGCCTGTCCCTTGGAGGTGTTGGAACAGCAGAGATCCTGCACCTTTGACACTGCAAAAACTGTCTCCTTTTAACAAAGGGTTTTGATTAACTGACGCCTTTTGCCTTCACTTTGTTCTCTTTTTTTGAGAYATTAATTTTATTTGGAATGCTTATGTATTAGATATGCCTGATGCATGGGAGATTTTGTCTTCTTTCCAAATAACTGGCAAAGACCTAGGGCCCTTGTTTTCTATAGTTTGTGTGAGCAGGTATCWCTTTTCTGCCAATTCACAAATGCAGCAACTTCAGTATAAAGTTCAGTCCAGTCTATCACCTTTGTAGGAAAAAAAATTTACTCTGGTTACAGTGAAGACCTTTACTGTAACTCTCAATGGCRCTTTTCCTTTATTAACATGACTGAACCAGTGAAAAATGGCTCCTTCCATAGCCCACTGGTCACCAGCAGGGCCATGCTCAGCATTACCCTCTGAACTTGAGGAAATATTTACACATAGATTTAACAGATTACAGCCTCAGTCCACTAAGGCTAATTTTGGTTTTGRCTGTGAAGGATCCCTCTGAAATATTGATAATGTTGGGTGTCAACTTTTCTGAAAAAAAGCTTGAAAAGCTTATTCATGGTCCTGAGGGGCCATTACTGATTGCAAATTCAAATTGTTTTGAGAGCAGCACAGCAAAGGAAACTTGTTTTCTGTGATTTTTCCACTATGATTTTCTCTCATAACATGTTATTCTCACTGATCTTCTGCCATCCTTAGCAATTTGCAGAACGAAATTTGCATGAATCTGGTGATATGCTGTTGAGTTTGGGCTGTCTCTGGTAATTGATGGACCTGTAGCCAAACAGGACAGAGAACTCATGTTTTGTGGTGCAGCCTTTCCTTTCATGGGGTCCTGATTGGGAGCTCCTTTCTACTGATTTCTATGAAACTTTTCAGATCATATTTACTTTGGATGAAACCAGCCAACCAGYTCAAAACATACTATAAAAATCTCCTGTGAGCTAATATGCAAAAGGTAAGATTACATAAAACCTTGTTTCTTTAAAATGCTGTGATGTGTTAATTGTGTGTTTTCCTTTAAATCACTTTAAAATACTGTAAATGCTACTACAATGGGTTATATCCATAACTTGCTATGGTTTATTTCAGTGGGGTTTTGATTAAGTTTGCAAGAAATAGGAGAGAATAACTTGGCAGAGAATTCTCTGGCACATTTTCCTTCTCACCCTTGAAATGTACTCTTTTCTCTGTGGATATGACTTGTGAATGAAAGGCCTTAAGTCTTTCTTTTCRTATTGAGCTATGTGATGAACCCACCGTACTATGCAAGAATGTAGCAGAATAGTGAAAAAGCCATTTTACTTTTTACTGAAAGTGAAAATTCAGGAAGAATAGAATACAAAGAAATGGCAAAAGCCCACACAGGGCCTGGTATAAATCAATTCAGTGGTCATGTGCTGGATGATGCCTTCTGTTTCAGCACACCACACCAATGCAGTAAATGGAAGACTGATGAAAGCTCTGGGCTCATTTAACACTGACAGATTTGTGGCAGACATCAAATATTTGACTCCTGACCACTGCATATTAAGCTAGCTGTGAGGAGAAAGGAGATATTAGGAAGATTTTTCAGCACCACAGGCTCAGTTAAATCTGTGTTAAGGATAAAAACAGACAGTACAACTGCCGTTTACTAACATTAATAGGTGAAGAATTTATTTTTAGAAATTCATGAAGTAAATGGTAACAATCTTCTTATTCTGAACTAATTTGAATAGAATAAATTAAAAAAAAATAGATTCTATCTTTTGCAAGTCTAAAGAACCTGCCATAAGAGCAGCTTATTCTCAGCTGTTGCTTTAAGTACACATTTCTTCCAACTTTTCCTAGCAAAATGTTGCAACAAAAATAATTTTTCTTTTAATTTCTAACATCAATTATTGCTTTATACTCTTGTAATTGTTGCACAGTACTGCAATTTGTGAAATAACTGATTGCTTCCATTTGGATCAGGCTGAAAACAAGAAAATCGTTTGTCACCTTCCATCTTCTTTACTTCTGATGGACTGCTTATTCCAAGAAGCGATTTAGGCTGTTGAGAATCTTCTTACTGTGATGGATTTGCTGTTCTTTTGCTAAAATCCCCAAAAGTAAACCAGTCAGAATTCTGGCTGATGCCACAGAAATGTTCCTCATTTCTGCCCACTGTTGCCACACAGTAATTGTATGGTCCTTAACTTCACCTCGGATAATTTTCACAGTAACTGTTTGTAGCTGTCTACAGATGCAACTGAGAGATGRTCTGAGGTGATACCTGGAACTAAACCCTTGCGAGAGACCCATTGGTAAGCCAGGCACTAGCTGCTCTAATCTGAAAAAAACATCATTTTACCTGCTGATAAAGCCCCTGGTTTTTACCCAAGTGAGACTACCTGAAACTAAATAAATCCCCATAATGATAAGCAATATCCAGGAGACAGACACAGTATTTTCCTTTGATTCCTGAAGAAGCACCGGAGATAACTGTGTGAGAAATGAAAAGGAAGGAGTAGACTTACTGGGTAAACCTGAAACACCAGTTAAGACTAACYTTCATGACTACAGCGGTGAAGCAAGAGCCTGACTACTAAGGCAGATTAACTTGTTCCAGTGAGCATTGTTTAGACATGTTTTTGGGTGAGGGAGGTATAAAAAGATTCAACTGCAAATCCAAGACCTTATCATCACCTCATGCTTGTTACCTGAAGAAAGCCAGAGGCAACTGAGGAACTCATGTCCAGGACTGGATGCAATTGGTATTATTCTTACTTATTATTCTGTGGGTTAAAAGGAGGGGTTAGCATGATCAGTGATACTGGGCATAAGAAGGTTAAGATCCTCAGAGAGGACCATAAAGAGGCATGACTAGACAGAGATAGTGAAAAGAGGTAAGAAAAATATTAAATATATCTAAGCAATGACTCAACACACATTTATGGTGCATGGAATACAAAGAGAAGCTTGCAAAATTGAAGGAGACTAAGAAGTGAGGAGGGAACTTAAGGAGACAAAGAAGAGGTGAAGCTGCAATGATTTACTAATTGCAGATTAACTGTAGAGCCAGCAGAAAAGAGAATTTGATATTTAGATGAATTCAGGAGACAAACAGTTGGACCCAGCAGGAGGAACCTTGAGACTGACATCTATCAAAATATAAATAAATTAGGACTAGGAAAAAAAAAAAAAAAGAAGATAGGATATCTTGACTTAAATGGAATTAAAAGAATGAGAAGAAATAGTGAAGGAATAATTGTCCAAAGGCTGTACTTGGTGAGGTCCAGTTAAGCAGTGGACAAGGAATGGCCAGATGTCCCAGGGTCAGCACGGGAATGATTAATATCCTGAACTATGTGAACATGTACCAGAGCCTTCTGAGTGAAACTGAGGTATCCAGCACTACTCAGCAGTGGATGTATACCTCCAGCACTTTCATGGAATGTTCGTAAACAGAAATGGGGGATAAGCTTGAGAGGGACTGAGTAAAGAGTCTCCAGTTTTTCTATATTACTTTCATTATCTGGAAAGATTCAAGCAGGCAGAAACAGTTTMATTGCTGTGATTTTCCCCACAAYTGGTAGCTSAAAGTGTGGATGCTCAGCAAATCTRAATTGTTTAAAATTTTGAGAATATCAAGTGTTTCAAGGCAACTATTTTCACTATCTCTTCTGAAGCATAAGGAGTTGATTAATTCATTTAAAACTGACTATAAGTGAAGTACAAAATGAGTTTGTAGAGACTAGTGCTGATCTCCCAGTACTGAGGAAAGCACAGAAGCCTGGGTAGATGAATATGCAATGTAAAGGCATTCTGAATTCATGGCACACATGAAAGCCTTGTAATACAGGTTTTCTAAAAGAAGTCAAGTATACTTTCTACTAGCTCAGAGGAAAAAGGCCTTGAACGAGCATGTTCAAAGTGCTCATTTGAACAACTGTGGTTTGCATCTAGGAATACTGCATAAGTACTTGTTGAACAAGAATCAGAAGAACTTTGAGAGTATGTGTAAAGCATTTAAAAAACCGAGATTACACATTTGGTATTGCCACAGTGTTCCTTGAGGCAGGTATGAAGTAAGCCTCCCACAGATGTGAACCAAAGCTCTCACTATTAGTAGTAAAGTTCCCATAGATTTGAACACAGGCTGTAGATTAGTAGGTGGTGAAGGTACAAATTTCAGTTMAAAAAGAGAATTCAAGAAGCATGTCAGTGAAAATACAGGATTGTGTGGCAGGTCAGCACAAATTGTGCATATATGCATGAATCAATGCCTGTAAACATGCAAGGTTTTCTGAAACTTTGGAAGCAGAGGGCTAAAACTTTTTGACAAGTGAACAAGGTCWTGTCTTTTAAATTAGCAGTAGACTTTTTGTTCTCTATTAGGAAKATTACCAGCTCAGGTTTTACATATGATCATATGACTTCAACATACACTGACTACAAGTGTTTGGTACTCTGGAATTAAAAAAATTAATGAAAATATCCTTAGGCAGTAACTTGAGTTCCTTCAYATGCTACTCAGAGGATGAGAAAGAGCTATAAAATCAGAAATATCCTCGTCAGGTAGGATTTCTTCCAATCTCCAACCTTTTCTCTGCCACAGGTAATTTCTGGCCCCATCACGCCATGTTCTCCTGCAGGGAGAAAAATGCCCTCTGTTGCCACTGCAAAGGCAGAATTCAGGGTGGCTTATTGTGGACTTTTCTGCCACTACATGCCCAAGGCAAATATTTGCAGGACAAACAGTTGCCTGCAACGGATGGATTAATTCAATAATAGGACTGAAACTCCTTTCTCAACTCAGTCCTAAAACACATTACTCAACTTCTTGGTGGAAGTGCTAGTGGAAGCACAGGTTGGCCATATTCGGTATTCCCACCACATGTGCATAAAATACACATCCTACAGTAGTCATCCTGCAGTCTCTGACAAAGTAGGSTCCCCTCTCACTGACAATGCCACTGTTTGGCCTTGTCTCCCCCATATTCATCTCCTAAGCCTCTGCCTTCTCACACCACCRAGAGGCAGCTACTCTCTCTCCAGAAGCACAGGGAGTTGGAAAAGGACTTGGGATCATGGCACTTTGACTTGGGAATAATGCAAACAAAAGCTTTAAAACTAAAGATATTTTTAACTATCATCAGATACCTGTGCATTTGTAAATAAAACAGAGGAGCTACTGATTTGTTAGCACATGCAGTATTTAATTATTACTATGCTACCTGGGACGAGTTTCACCTGAATTAACTAGTACTTGTCGAGATGGTTCCTGGGAATTTGGCATGGGTCCATTTGAAGCAAGAGCTTGGTCAAAATAACATTCTGAGGACAACATTTATACACATTTCGGGAAKAGTGTGTATGAAATAATTTTCAATTCACAGCAGGGATGCAACCACTTGTTTCAAAGCCCCCACATGATGGAGGATGTATAGATGTAGAYACTGAGGCAACAAAACACAGATATTGTAAAGAGAAAAAAGATCATATTCAGTTTTTTACTTCAGGAAAGCACATCAAATCAGTATGGAGAGGCTTTTGGCTACAAGGAGCAATTGGATCATCCAGACTGTAGGCAGGAATCCCTGCCAGGAGGTGYTCTTTGTGCTTCCATGACATTCTGAAGATGCTGAGAAAGACTTCCAAAACTGAGACAGTGTAGACAGGAAATGTAGCTTTGACAGGGTATGTWTAAGCATCCAGACAGAATGTTTGTAAAAGGGAGAAGTGAATTTGACATAATGTGGAAGATAAGCCTCACTGCAGGAAGAACTACTTTGGAATACCTGAAGTGATCACAATGAAGTGCCTATAAAAAAGCTGTTACTAAGTTTGGTTGTATTATCAGTRTAATAACAGAAAGTATTATTCTGTAGTAGTTGCAAAGTAACACTGAACTATTTCAACACAGCTACAGCTGACAGTAATTAAAAGATGTGATATTGTTTTGAGAAGGCAAGAAATGCAGCAAAGACAAAGAAAATCCACAAGGAAGACAACAGCCTGCAATCTTGCTTTTGACATGGTTTTAGTTCCTYATACGTAAGTAAAGAAATCTCCTTCCTCAAGATGTGACAACTWAAAGGAATTATTTAAAGATACTTATGGGAAAGAATAAAATTGGGGAAAGCTAAAACACATGCCCTTGGTACATAAGCCCCATCAAGTTGAGAGAGCAGCTTCTTCCAACTTCTTCCCAGTTTTTTCTTGATCAGCTTTATCATCCTTATCAGTTTCCCAGTACAGCTCCAGCATCTGCCAGGGAACGGGGCGGGGTGATAAATGAATATCCCATCAGGTAGGAAGTACTTTCCAGGTGAAAACTCCTCCAGATTTTTACTTTCCAACTCTCAGGCCCTGTGGTTCCTTTTCCCTTTCAGTGTTAGTAAATGGCACTGGACACCCCCCAAAACGTTGCAATAAGTTTACTCTCCCTTTTGTGCAAAAATTAATCCTCCTGTCTACAAGACCAATTTGTAGGAGCATGTCATTAGGACCTCTGTCACTCGAATGCGCTGSCTGTATAAAATCAGTATTTTGGCTGACATTTCTTGCCCCGCATTTACTGCYGAGCCTGGTTGTCCTGGTTGCTGTAGCCAAGTGACAGGAGCTCTCCGSCTGTGACTCACCGCGATGGCACCCTTTGGTGTCTGGGTGTGTGGCACCGAGCCCTGCTATCCCTTTGGGCTGTCTGCAGAGCAGCTCAGCGCTCAGATGCCTCACAGCCAGCACGATAAAAGAAGGCACAGGAGGTAGGTTTGTCCCCAGACTTTCCCAACAAACAGGTGTCGCTGCGGCCTGTACTGAGGTGGAAAATCCACAGAGTTTAGGGGTCTGCCGCAGACACTGCTGTCACATTAACAAATAAAGGCAAACGTATAAACCCCCTGCTGCCCAAATATCCTGCCGTGTGTCAGGGCCCAGTTTTCCACAGGGAACRGCAGTTCCCTCTCCCCATCTGGAAGCCAAGAATGAGTCAGACTTCCGATGTAGATTTTCCAGCTCTGGTCTCTCATCACAAGTAGAATCAGCTTAGACTCAGCTGTTCTGGCCAATCTTCCATGTGAGAGAAGTTGTGGCTTAGATTTTATGTGTCTTTTTTGGTCACTTTTTTTTGAGGAATCACCTGGTCTATTGTGGGACTGAGCTTTCTCCTGGCAAAATTCAGAGTGCCTTTCAGTCACTCTGTTGAAGCCAAAGTACACCGCGGGTGCGGGATTCACAGAGCTCAGGAACCCTCCCGGGCTGCTTTCAGTGACCTCGGGAGATTCAGTCTGAGTCACTGGGATGACAGCAGCAATTGTCACAAGTATGAAGAGAATCATGTAGCAGAATACCGCGACATCCATTTAGTAATTTACTGCCTTTAATGAAACTGGGTAATTACAGGTAAATGTACTGGCTRTGGCATCACTGATATTTCGTTTCCACTCTCATTCTTGCTGAGCAGATGTCTATCMAGTGTTGCCCTCTCAGCGGTGTCGATGCTCAGAAGTGCTCTCAGGTAGAGAAAGGCATTCTGCAAACAAGGCTCCCCCTGCCCAAGTGGTACAGCCGCGCCTCCCCCCTCCCCCCATCCCGCGGCGCCGGTGGTTGGTGCCGGCGGTGGCGCATGCGCAGAGGGCGCCCGGCGGCTGCGGGCGGCGCTGTGGGAGCGGCGGGTCGAGCTGGGTCGGGGCCTCCCCTGGCGGGTCGGGCCGGGCCGGGCCGGGCGCTCCCGGGGGACCGGGGAGAGCAGTCCCGGAGCCGGGAAGGGCCGTCCCGTCRTTGCGGGCAGCGCTGTGGGTGAGGAGCGGCGGGTGACAGCGGGGTTTGTGCGTCGGGGCCGGTCTCCAGGTCTGCGTGAGGGGCTGGGCGGCCGCGGGGCGGGGGGCGGTTACGGTGGGTGTCGGTGTCGGTGCCGTGTCTGTGCGGGGCCCCGGGAGCTGCCGCGGCCCTGCTGGAGCCASGGCTTCTGATAGGGGTCGCGCTGTTCAGGGCCTGGTCGTGCCRTGGGATTGGTGTGTTTTGCCCCGCTTTTCCCCGGAGAGATAAAGGCGGGTGCWRCTCGGACTTCGAGTCGGTCTTGCCRGGTGTGAGGCCGTGGAGTGGGCGAAGGGCCTTCGGAGCTCCCAGCCCATCCCCCTCCTTGGAGCGAGGCACCTGCGACCAAAGGGCATTGCGAGTAGGTGCCCACAGGATCCGGRTTGCGGTGGCGGTATTTGCTGCCCCCTGAGACAAGGTGGGAGCTTTTCACCAGGCGCTCTAGCCTCGGTGGATTTGGTGGCTTTTTCACTTGTGCTCTCCAGACTCCCAAACGCACCGAGGTGTTAAGCCTTTACAGGCTGCGGCGAGTGTGGTGGCCATGCTGATACCACCCATGTGGTTCATAAAACGAGCTGGCATTCAAATATTTCAGTGTTATCTGGCTTTTCTCTCCCCACAACCCTTTGTTTTTGGACTACAGTGTGTTCAGGAAGTTCAGACAACTTGAGACGCTTAATGTCTGTGTTGTTCAGCTAATTACACTGATGTTGCTAATAATATGTAATAATGTTGCTTGTCAGCATTCCATACTTTTTCCATTTTTGAATATGTTGTTTTATTTTTTTGGAAAGTGGCTTAATGTTCAGAAACTTATTGCAGAGTCTTGTTTTGAGCCATGATCATAACAGCCTTTTTTTGGTGTAAGTGGTCCCCTTTACTGCATTAGTTTTCTATAGTTTTATGTCCTGGATCTGTATTTGAGATTCTGAATTGCACCCAAAGATGTAGCAAATGGTGGGAAATCAGTGAGGGAAAAGCAGGGGAGTAAGACAATACGCAATGCTGTTGAAATAAAAGTTTCACAAGTAACAAGACAGGATTTGCTTCTTGCATTTTCTCTTCCTCTTTTTTACCTTCCTACTTGACTGTCTTCAGCTTTTGCTTCAATGCATTACTTTTTACTAGTATGGASTTTGCAGGCCTGTTGCTAAACATSTTGCTTATGTTTTTTTGTCTGTCTGCCTGTCTTGGGATAACTGTGCCTTATAGCAACAGGACCAAAGTGATAAGTTCAGTGGATGCAAGTCCTCTATGGTTTAGAATCTGCAGATGTACTTAAAAATTCACTAAATTTTTTTTCTCCTTGTTCCAGATGGAAGAGTTCTTGCTTACTGGTTTGTGTAATAGCAGAAGCTAAATAGACATGAAGGAGACTATAGTGGGAATGAGAAGTGTCAAAAGAGAAGAAATGAATCCTACAAATGATGACACAGTGTTTGGGACCATTTTTGACTGGGACTATCTCTTATGGGAAGTTCGTTTGACATTTTTAGCTGCTGGTTTTTTAATCTACTTGGGAGTATTCCTTCTGTCTCACTGTTTGTCTTCATGGAGAAGTACCACTTATCGTGCCTTATATGCAAAGGAGAAGGTGTTTTGGAATATGGCAGTCACACGTGGTGTGTTTGGACTTCAGAGTTGTGTTGCTGGTTTATGGGCTTTGCTGATAGATCCTGTTTTTCATGCTGACAAAGTCTATTCACAGCAAAAGTGGAGTTGGTTTAACTGTTTAATAGCAGCTGGATTTTTCGTGCTTGAAAATGTAGCAGTTCATGTGTCCAACATTATTTTTAGAACATTTGATGTTTTCTTGGTAGTTCATCATTTGCTTGCTTTTGGTGGCTTGGCTGGTCTAGTAATTAATGTGAAATCTGGACATTATCTGCCTTTGATGGGAATGTTGCTGGAGATGAGTACTCCTGTAACGTGCATTTCCTGGATACTTCTGAAGGTAAGAACATGATAATTTTCAGATTCTGTTTGTAACAGGTTTCATGCATTTCACTTGTCTGTAGATAATCTGTGTGGTTTGTTTGGKTAGTTTTTCATTAAAACTGCATTTACCCAACTGGTATCCATGTTATTGTCATACCTGCTTTTGTTGTGATGACACTTCTGCAGGCCTCCCTATTGGTTTTTGTATGTTGCTGTGTGCATGTACACAGTGGCATGGTATAGAACCATACCAAGTTTGGGATGCCATATACATGTGGAATAATGTAGCACTATGAGGAAAAAATGCCTAAGAGTGCGTGTATATGAAAGCTGGATATTTGCATGAGTTCTGCAGATTCCTCAGTTCCTTATCTTGAAGTAACAATCTCACTTCTGCRTATTTTGTGTTCTTGTTTTTTTCCAGGCTGGCCGTGCTAACACCTTTTTCTGGAAGGCAAACCAGTGGGTGATGATCCATCTGTTTCACTGCCGCATGATTCTTACCTACCACATGTGGTGGGTGTGTATTTTCAACTGGAATTCCGTGGTAGAAAATCTGGGACTTCTTCACTTCATTGTTTTATTCTCAGGATTATTTGCTGTTACACTAGTACTTAACCCATACTGGACATACAAAAAAACTCAGCAACTCCTCAGACCAACTGACTGGAACTTTGAAAATAAAGCAGTGGAAAATGGGAAATTAAATGGTGAAACACAACAGAAGAAGAGAATATAGCACTGAAACAGCAGTTTCCTAGTAGGGTAACAGATGGAAGAATACAATGCAAAGTCATTCTTTGCACGTGAGCTAGAAGCTTTTGCAAGAAGCTCATTGACTAAGTGACTCCTTGCTGGTAGCATTCTGTATGCATCACAAGTATTGAAAAGCGTTGTTTGGTTTCATATGTACGTACATATGAAGACTTCAACCCTCATTATGAAATACACCAACAATTTGTCATGTTGGACAGTATTTCCTAATTTAGTAGTGACATGCTCCCTAATGGCATCCTTTGACTAATGCTTCAAAGTGACTTTACAGTTAAGTTGTYTATTAAGCTCAGCTTGAATCAAGTTTAGCTTGAATCCTATTTCACCTACAGTGGCGATACTGATAATGGAAATTATGTTAAATTGTTTATTAAGATCAGTTATGATCCARGTTAGGTATGCATGGATACCTAGTTCCTGTGTGCCAGTGAATCATTCCAAGTGGCTGAACTGGTTGGTGGTAGAATGCAGTCATGGATTGGGTTTGGTTGGTTTGTGGGTTTGGAGTTTTTTGWGTGTTTGTTTTTATTTTTTTCTTTTAAGTGCACTTAAGGAACAGAAAAATAATTGTTTGAGTTTTTGCTGTCCAAGTTGTAGTTTCCAGGTTGCCCTTAGTATGGGAGGAGTTCATATCCATCAAAACCATACATGTGAGGATCCATGCGTTTGGCATATGAGTGGTTAGTAGGTAATCATAGCAGCCCCTTCTGGGCTTGAAAGCAATGAAATGTAAGTGGCAACACCAGAATGTGACTCTGTATCATCTTTGGAAAAAATGCTGCTTGATTAGTAAAATTATTTTGTTTGTATGTCCCACATGAGGGATCATGCGATTAGTTCCACTAGTGCTCCTGTAATGGTTCCTCTTACTTTTGGGAATACCTTTAGTTTTAGATGGTTTCAGAATCTGAGGTGATTCCTCTATGGAGGAAAGCCCATATAACCTCCTGTAGGAGTTCTGTTCTAATATTTTTATTTAATTTTAAGAGCATACCAAGCAACGCTAACAATCCTTTGCACTTTATCTGACACATCACAAAAATCTTTCCTTGACCTGACAAGTAGGATAACTCTTTAGATAGGGGCTAATGGGGATGGATACGTTTTCCCACGTATAATACTGGTTTGATGGTTCCTGCATTGAAATGTTGGGAAGTGGATGAAGGGRTAAAGATCACTATAGAAGAGAGTGACGCCTAGTGGCAGGAGAATGCCAGGGGTATTAGTTTTGGTGCACGGAGCTGGTGAGATAAAAAAACTGGTTAATTGGAACTCTGTGACGATTGCTACACAGATTTATTTCCCAAAGCAATAAAACTGGGAAAGCCCAGGCTGTGGAGGATTTTAGGTCAAGCCATGAATGAGACCTTGTGGACTGATCTGTGGTGGAGCATATTGTTCTAAATGTGTGAGGAAATCACTCTTTGCTGTAAACAGCCCCATTTTATTACTTCTTGGTGGGAATGCCTTTGATTTTTTCTGAGTGAATGAAGTGATCAGGTTACTGTGTTCCCTAATTCACTGTGTGTGAGTACAGTGTTGAATTGCTGTTCTATGAGGGAGAGGAAACTTCTTATTTTGGGTCACAAATATATAGCCAGATCTTTTTGATAGTAATGAAGTGGTAAATATCTGAAATTGCCCATTCAGAACCAGGTTGAGAGGGTCACAGCAATTTTACACGGCAGCCCTGTCTGTTATTCTGCTGATATTTAATAGAAAAAATCTAAATTTGGAGCTATCTTCTTATTTCTAAGCTGAGCAGAAGGAAGTTGCAGTATTTTAGCAGTGTTGCCTGTCTGGGCACCATCCTGTTGTAAAAAGGGTTCTCAACATCTTGAAATTATGTACCTGTCCTGAGGAGTTGTGTGGGGAGAGTAATGTTAAAAGTACTTTGGAAGAAACCAGAGAGATTAATTCCTTGGAAACAGAACCAAAAGTATGGTCTGAATGCATATCTTGCAAAATCCAGACATCACTTGCAAGACTTCCAGGGAGAAAGACAGAGAATAAGTTACTGCATATTAGAATGATGGTGTACTCTATGTAGCTTAAAACTTGAAGGTTTGAATTTGATAAAACAAGGTAGTAATTATAAAAATCCCAGCTACAGAATTCTGAAGAATCCTAACAGAAAATGGAGGCCTCAGAAGAAGTGTGGGATGAGTGTGCAATTTTTACAGTGGCTGGCTAAAGAATGTGATATGCTAAAATATATGCTAAAATAAAAGAATATGGGGGTTATGGAGGGAATTTGACACTGAAAAAAGGTGGAAATTTATGTCATAGTACCAGACGTTTAAAGCTTAATATTTTGTTTTATTAATTTGTATAACTTTATTAAGTGAATTTTAAATATTTTATTAAAATTATGTTTTTGTAATCATAATGCAGTCTTTTTAGTTTGCATTCTAGCATGAGTTTTTTCACAAAAAAACTGTTAGGGTTTGCGTGTCTTAACTATATAATACTTTAGTGCTCATGTTAACCTAAACAATCATAGATCTGCTAGAACAAGAAAGCTATGCAAAAAAGAAATAACAGCACTCATTTTATTTCTGTTGGTTTGAGAGTACTTTACAGTTCAGTTGGAAATACAACATAACAACACATACATCCTTTCTTTTTGATGGCCTAGCATTGGACTTGCCAGTAGTGTTACACAGAGCCTCTTTTTTAATACTTGAGTATAAAAGGACCATTTATAAGGGCAAGTAGTGATAGGATAAGGATAATGGCTTCAAACTAAAAGAGGGGAGATTTAGATTATATTAGGAAGAAATTGTTCCCTACAAGGATGCTGAGACACTGGAACAGGCTGCCCAGAGAAGTTGTGGATGCCCCACCCCTGGAAGTGTACACAAGGTGAGGTTGGATGGGGCTTTRAATAACCTGGTGTAGTGGAAGGTGTTCCTGCCTACAGCAGGAATTGAAATAAATTATTTTTAAGGTTTCTTCCAATCCAAACCTGTGATTCTTCACTGCCTATTGACTGCTCCTTTTAGGAGAATTTTCTGATTTATTACTGCAGATGATTGGCACATTGCTTTGAAACAAGTCTGRAAAAGTTCTTGAACTTAGGTTTTTGAAGTTTGATTTCTGTTAAAACTAAATGCTGCTCTTCAGCGAAATGGTAGATTAGCCATAGTTTGTTTGTAAATTTTGTTGATGTGAAACTAATCCCAGTCCTGTTAGGTCTTCTTTTACAGCCTCATCCACAATCCTGTTCAGAAAAAATCAGTTAGCTTCTAGTGGCTGGGTGTGCTGCTGTGAAAACTCTTGCATAACGATTTTGGGTGAATAATTTGTTTGCCAGGGTGACTGCTGGGGACTTGGCTTTGCTTTCTTGTTGAACAGGCTTATTGGAAGGAGTGGTGTTCATATAATCTTTCTGTCTGAAGATTTTTTTTAAAACAAAAAAAAAAAAAACAAACAACAAAACCAACCAAACCAGCAAACTGTGGTAGGGGTGAGGGTGTTCAGTTGTTTTGGTTTGTTTTCCCTTTTTTTTTTAAAAAAAGAAAAGTGTTTGGTCTGAGACACTGAGTCCAGGCATCTGATTCTTACTGTCTTCATACAACATTCCTAAATCACAGTTTGTGTTTTCCTCCATTGACGTCCTGTCACRTTTTCTTCCTAAACTTGTCATCATTTCCCCCTGCCCCTCTCCCCCCACCAATTTTTCTGTTAATATTTATTCTTATTTGTGGTATTGGTCAYGATCTTGAAGAGTCACATTAGACAACAATATCACAGTGGTAGTAGTTTTCAGTAAGTCCTGTCAGGCCCGTCTTCCACTGAATATCTGCATCCAAATCTTTCAGAGTTTTTTAATGTTTTCTTGATAACATGGATTAAATATTGATGTGAGGTAAGTCATAAGAAACCTTTTTTAACCTCAGGGAGATTCCCYCTTAAAGTGAATTTACAGGTGTTAAGCATACCCAAGTCTGCCCTTGTGCAATATAACATTTGTTGAAAAGAATCTTTACACTGTACTTAAATAAAAATATCTTATTGAGTAGCTGTCTTATGAGTTTCATTTACTCATGAAAATAATGCCTAGTATTTTTTTGCTATTTGTAGCGTAAACAGTGCATGCACTAAAATAATGATTTGTTTGTTTTGAAATGTTAAACTTTACAAAGTCAGATTCATAGAAATAGCTATAAAAGCTTGTAAACCAATGTTCCTTCACCAGCATTTAACATATTATTCTCAGAAGCACGTTTAGAACACTAGATGCTGTGCTATATGTAAGTATGTATGAAAAACAGTTAAACATCTCTTGGGAATGACCCTTCTGACTTGTGTATTTGAAGTGTGTGATTGTGCATTAGGCTCTGACTGTTAAGACACTTCATTTGGTACCACATGACTCTTCATGGTTTAGTATAAGCTACCTTAAATAAACAAGAACAACAAACAAACACCAAAAACTTGTTCCACTGCAAAATAGTAAAATAAAATTCTAAGCATTTATTTTGTTATGCTTTGCAGGAACTAATTCCTGATGCTTTTTAGATTAGTGAGTTAAAGGAATACAGCATCATTACTGGCATTTTAATTATTCTTACAAGAATGCACAGTGCAAGCAACTGGCTGGCTGCCTCTGYAGTGAAGTGCCCAAGATTAATTGAAGCAGAAGCAAGACATTCATGTGTAGAGCTCCACTAACTGTGGAATGTGTGTGGGTACACACTGGGATGAAAAGAAGAATTATAAGAGTGTTTGTATGAATAAAGTTCCTTTTTTTTTTTTTTTTTTTTGTAAATGATCTGTATTTAAATGGTATTCATGTTTTGCTATTCAGGTGTTTTCAATTAATAGGTAAATACATTTTATTTGGTAGTTTAAAACATATTCTCATCAAAATATTGGAGCATACTTGTGCTGACAATGTTATACAGCAATTACAGCAAGTCTTTTGATCTTGTGTCATGGTGCTGGTGCTTAAGTTGGAACAAAAAAATGCAAGCAGTGGTCATTAATGAAGTAAACTATGCCTTGTCAGCCCCCAGATGCATTTTCTGTGTTGGAAGAGACATTTCATGCACTGGATCTGATCGACTTAATTAGCGTGTTCTGCTAGTGCTGGTGTCACAGGGCAGGAACAAGAATTTTTGCAGCACATTGTGCCTTCCTGTTTCCCCTAAGCTGAATACTGGTGAGTCAGGTGGAATGATGATGATAGAGCAAACCTGCAAGGCTATAGCAGTCCTTTTTCATAGTTCAAGGTGGCAGACAGGCCCAGYTTGAAAGGAGGGGGTCCTGCTCAAAGAATGCAAGGAAATTTGCTTTGCCATCACTTGCTGCTATTGTGCGTTTGTTCTGAGAGCCAGCTGGGGTCACTTCTGAGTCCTTAGGAATAGAGAGTGGGAATTCAATAGTAGCTTTGTCAGATGCATTCTGGTCTGAAATAAATATTTCCTCATATGATTTCTAGCTRCCTCTGCTCCTTTGATTGCTTGGCACACATTAACGTGCTGTATAAGCTGACAGTATTTTCACCACTATGTCCTCTGACATTTACTGTAAAGAATTGTGAGGTTTTAGTACTGGTAATTGATTCTGGCAGCTCCAGAATCGCTTGGATTTATATATTGTTATATAGATCTGCAACCTCCTCCTCTTGCCTTGCTGCTTCTGCTGCTAAAAGCAGTTTACCAGGTGAGCATTGCATTTTGTTACCAAAGTTGTGCTTGCTCCGGTTTAAGCATGGGGCTTGCACCAAGCAAGGGATGAAATATACCTGAAAAAGGACTAATTATGTAGAAGGTAGAGAGTTGACTTTCCTGTGTYTCTGGACCTTGCAGTTTTGCTGTCAGGATCTTTTAAGTGTAAATCAAGRTCATAACTATGATGCCTTGAAAAACAAAGCCAAGCAGGCAAACTATGAAAGTATATAGAGTACTTTTGCATGGAGGTTTGCATACAGTAGGCAGAGAGATCTGACAAGAGCTTGTTCATCTTGTTTCATGGGTGTGTTTGCAGGCAGAAAATGTATTCTGTAAAGCAGCAGTAGCCTTCCAAAGGAGTCACAAAAATTAAATATGAAAAAAACTAGGAGGCTTTGGGATGAGGTRGATGGAACTGACGGTTACATTGTATGCTGCTGACCAGATTGCAGGTGGACATTGACTAGGGAGTTTTTCTGATGCTTTAACTCTTATTTTCTCAGCATCATATTGAGTATTACTATGACACTGGTTGAGGCTAAGTTTGAGAAACTTTTTAAGGACATCAAAATGCTAAGCAATATATTGCCCAAGGCTGAAAGAGCCTAAAGTCTGTTCTAATTTAAAGTAATTTATTCTTGTACTATCATTGCCTTTTTATCTTACATAATTATTTTTTACCCCTGGAGACTCTTGCATATTCATGAGTACAAATCAATCTCCTCTTTTGTTTTCCTAGCCATCCTAATACTCTTTGTCACTTTTCCCACTTGAATTCCTTTTTATTAAATGTTAGCAGCTTAGAGTTGTACATAGTATTTGATATAAAGTCTTCTCAATATCTCATATTACAGTAGTACCTTCTTTCCTCCCCTGGAAACAGTTCTGCCAAAGGCTGCATTTGTCTTTCAGAGTTGCACAGCCTGAAAGCCACAGCACTTTGTGGTCCTCTTGAGCTGAAATTCACTCAAGTTCTTCCCTTCGTCAGCTTCAGGATGAAGAGGAGAACAGAGACATAACTGAAAGWATGAATTTTGTGTTACAGAAGCAGCTTGTGCCTATGACCGTCTGGGGTGCGGTGCCCACATGTGAGCAGTGGGGCTGCGGGGATTCTGCGAGGGGGCCGGGGCTGCCCCAGCCGGMYMCAGCCAGATCCAACCACCCAGTGCAGGGCACGGCTGAGCCCAGGGCCAGGGCAAGGACACCTCAGGGCTAACATATGTAGGGAAGGGCAAAAAATGCTGCTCAAAAGTGAGGAGAACAAAGCGAAAGAAGCAGCACTGCGAGCGCCAAGGTCAGTGAAGAAGGAGGGGGAGAAGCTGCTCCAGGGCACCAGAGCAGCAGCCCATGGAAGAGCCCTTGAAGGAACAGGTTTATCCTGAAGGACTGCAGCCGGTGGGAAGCACCCACACTAAAGCAGAGGAGAAATGAGAGGAGGAAATAGTAAAGGGAGGAGCTGTTACTGACTGACCACAAACCCAGCTCCCATCCCACCGTGCCCCTCGGGGAGGGCGAGGCCAAGGAGCTGGCGCTGGACTGATGYTGAGCCTGGGTGAGAAGGCAGAACAGAGGGGGAGGGTTTTTTTTACTTTTGTCCTTCTGTCTTACATCCAATTTTTAATTTCAATTTGCAATAAATGAAACTYCCCCAGCTGAGTATGTTTGGCCCGTGGCAGTAGTTGCTCAGTGATCTTCTTGTCTTCATTTTGACCAACAAGGTTTCCATCTTATTTTCTCCCTCCATTCTGTTGATGACGGGGAGTGAGGGAGCAACTGGGTAAGGATGTGGTTGCAGGCTAAGGTCAACCCACCACAAGAAGTTATGGCATCGGCTGTACTATCACTCATGTGCCACCCATGACAACAAGGAGATGACATAACAGAAGGGCTCTGATCCTGAGCAATATCAAAATTTAGGAAAATTTGTACCAAGTCTGTCTGAATTGGCAGTCTGAGAATTTGACTTGCAAATACTCCTCTTAAAAGAAGGAAAGAAGGGAAATAAAATGTGTTCGTGAAAGACGTTCTAATGCTGGTAAAAGATCACAATATTATAAAATTCAATTGTCAGGTTAACCTGTACTGATGTGCTCAGAATTGATAGCCTCCCAGAAGTAGTGCTGGTGCTTAAGGAAGACCTGGAAGACAAGCCAGCAGTAGGCATCAAAGCAGAATGTGAATAAGCAAGTTTTTTTATAAACCCAAATGTTATTTTTGATGTAATAGTCTGGATTTAAGAAAACTGTGGTTTGCCTTTTTAAAAAAAAATGTATATAGTATATATTATATATAAATATATATAAGGATTTAAAATATATTATCACTTAATCTGGTTTGGTAAGGGAAGTRGAGGGAACCTGTAACTTTACAAGGCTCCAGGATGTGTTCTGCAGATGCTCAAGGTAAGTAAGGCCTTGGATGTCCTGGCTTGGAGTGATTTCTGAGGGATTACAGTAAGCAGATGGCATGCTGTCTTCATGGGGGATACAGCTGGGAAAAACAGAATTTCTAGTGGGTGAATACTCCCTAGGAAAAAGTGCCAGCTACCTCAGCTGCTAAACAGAAGGAAGAATTTGAGAAAACTGGGCTTCGCTGGGGAGCTTGATACACTAAATTTTAGTTGCTTTGTCAGATTTTATGCAGTGTTTTGGAAAGCAAGCCATTGGAAAGATGTCTTATATCTTTAGGAGTCATAAATTTAGGCGTACATGCATGCCATTCCCATGGAGACAGAAAATAGGCATCCCATCTTCATGGCATTGTGTCACAGGGGATCAGGACATGTCCTTATGATGCCCAGTACATGTACCAGAGTAGGGGGATGGTGTAGAT